AAAGAATTCAAATACAGAGAACAAAATTTGCAGTAATCTTCACAAGGATGTCTTACTTCCTTTGCATCCTGCAGTTTTTAAATACAATATGTCCACAGTTGAAATATGTAACTAATTTATTCCCTTAAATATTCTTCTTTTGCAGTTTTAAAGCAAATACCTATCTGTATCCCCTTGAAAAATCTAAACCTTGGACTTACCATTGTGGAAGCCTTGGCTTCCAAAGAGTTCCAAGTCTCCAGAAGAAATCCGAAGGGCTTAATGTGGAATCAGAGAGCAAGTAATTTTTGGTGCCTTTATGTTGTGCAGTTCAAGTCTAGATGGGGCAAAAAGAGCCTGCTCTTTTTAAAATACAGTTATGTTGAAATATCTGAAGAAATCCCTGAAACTTTGCCAGCTGGCAATGAGAAAGTATTTGATTTTGTAGAACACTGACCTAAGTAAAATGTTGAGTCCAGAACTTTGCATTTCTTGGAAACATTATGATTAGAAAAAATGCCTTTCTGATGAAACACAAGTATTGATAGCTAAGCTGTAGGCAGTATTATATGGCTAGGTGACTTTTAGCTGTGGCAGGAGTGCATGCTAAATAGCTTCTGCTATCAGTGGGCTGGAATATGCTGAGAGTAGTGCACTAGGTATCAATAGCAACAGGAGCTTTTGCTGGATGTTTGCAAACTCACGCTTAATGCTGCAGTGTGCACTGAAAGATAACAAACCGAAGGTACTTGGCCATTAGCAGTATTAAAACCACTTGACACTGAGACCTTAATCAAAGCTGGATCACATTACAACATTTCTCTTTCTCCTCAGCCAAAATAAGAATTTCCTCTCAAATCAAAAGCCTGCTGTTACTCCTGTGGCAGTATTCAGGCTTCGATTTGAATAACCGTGATAGAGTATATGATCACTTTTATGTGTGCAAAACTTTCACAAGAAATTATAAATTTCAGAGTTCTAATCAAGTACTCTGCTTTTTCTTGCTCCTGCAACATCTTTTCAGAAAGAAATACCAGACTGTGGCCCTACCTATATTTAAAAAATACTTTGTTGCAGATGCTTCCAAGCAATTTGAAAGTCATCCCTGTGGGGCACTTGTCATCTGCTACAAGAAATTTAGCACATGATTTTAAAGTTTAGAAACTTTGAACACAGAAATCCAAGAAAATTTGGCTGTACTACAAGCTAAATAATTTAGGGCTCTTTTTTTTTTTTTTTTTTTGAGTAAACTAAATACAGAGTTATATACTTGGAATGGTGGGAAGAAGAGTTGTCATTCCTTTTTTCCTATGCACTATGTATTGCTGAGTACTAATAACAATTCAACCCAAGGAATTCAGCAAAATAAATCTAACTGCATCACAACATAATTCCATGACCTCCTTAAAGGAAATGCTGAAGTTGAAGTCTGTTGAGGTTCGATAATCCTTTAGTAAGAAATCCATAATTAATGAAATGTTACTAAGCATTCAGTTTTCAGACTATACACCTACTTAATTTTTTTTCTGATATAATTATTACATTGTAAAACTTACATTTCATGATATTCATGTTTTCATTGAAAAAATTCAATAAATATCCTTTCTCATCCTTTGCTTCTGGCATACTAGATTATTGTACTTTATCATAAAAGTCTTCCTCTTGTCTCTGTTTACAGTGTGTCAAGTCAGCTTACAACCTTTCTCAGGGGAGCACAGCAGTTTGTGTCTTCAGTTCTGTAGCATAGATTTCCTTTCATTCTTGCAACCCATTTCTGAACAGCCTCCAACCTCACAGTATCTCATTTCAAATCTAAATATAGAAAAAAGTGTAAAAGCTTGTAAGTGTTGTGGAAATGACTTCGGATACTATGAAGGACATTTACTGTATATATCCAGGCATCTCATCCTCTGTCTTAAGCACTAAATTCTTCTCAGGGGCGCTGTTGTTAGTACAAATTGTATGCTTTACAGAGTTTTAAAAAATTCCTCCAAAATTTTTTTAAAAATCATATCTAAAACATGAATTAAGTAAGAATAGTTTATTTCACTATTAAGACTTAGTCCTTATTTGTCATATTAAGCATTGTTTGGAAACTCTATCAGCAATTATTGTATATTTTCTCCCAGATCTCATGATATAAGGCTTTCATACAAATGTAGAGAAACTATAGTTGATGTGTACCAACCTATGTCTTGCACCACTGTAAAAACAGTTCCCTTCCTTTTACCTACCATGTGCATGGGCTTTGCTAACACCAGGTCACTCTGGGCTTGACAGGAAATTTTATGCCAGTCTTTTTGTGTTTTTTTTATAGAGACCTCAAAGCAAGACTGGTTTTGCTTTCAAAGTGCTTGTTAGGCAGAACACCTTATTCTTCTGCCAGTGATTTCCTGACAAAGATGCCGGAGCTCTGCCAGCTGTGCTGTGGATTGCCTGCTGGTCAGCTGACGCTCCTGTGTGCCTTTGAACCTCCTACCTCAGGATACGCAGATCTTGCTCTAAAAGAATTTAGTCCCTTCCTCAAGTCTTAGATCTGACTATGTCTTCAGTGAGTTCCTTTTTTAATACACTTTTTTTCCAAGAATGATTGCTTCCGTAGCACTGCACTAATTTGCTTGTCACCAGTTGTCATGTAGCATGAGGAGAGACAAAACTGCCTGACAAGCTCTCCCATGAAAAGTGTATTATCCTTGTGATCAGCTCTGCCATTTCTGATAATTTTCAATATTCCTATGAAGCTGATAGCTGGATTATGAAAACAGTGTTGAAGATCTGCCTTTTCTGAATGCAAGACTACTAAAAAGCAGATAACATTTTTAAGGCTTTGTTGGTAGGACAGCTGTAAGAATTTCGTACTTAGAACTTTCCTAGTTTCCCAGCTGAATGCTGCTAAACATGTCTGGTCTCTTTTAACTTCTCAGGAAGACTTTTCTCTGAAGTGTTGACACCTGGAGAAATCTCTGAAAAGGTTATTCTGTCCAGCTATTATGGTATTACTTTTTTATTGGTTAGAAGTACCTTTCTAGGACCTTCTAAAGGGCAGGTGGTTTTGTGGTGATGGAAGGTGATGCCATTTATTTACCCTTGTGTTGTCCCCAAAATGTTGTTTCATGACCTGCCAGCAACTTGCTGTTTAAGGTAATCTACTGTTACCAGGCCATTCACTGAGTATATTTTCAGAGCTGGAGAAAGAAAGAAAAGCCTCATCCATCCGGTTTCACTTCCAGGCTATTTAAAAACTCTCCAGTTAAATTGATGTAAAACCTAGTGAGAGTTCTTATTTTATTTTAAAGGTAAACTTTATGGTGATTTACACCAAGCATTAGGTTTAGTGAGCAGTTTAGTAAGAGTAGTTTAAGTAAATTCCCTCTCAGCTAAACTGCTACAGAGATTCATTTTAAGTGCAACTAAATGTTTTTGCCCTGGTTTAAAAACTAATTTAATTTCATTACTGTTAAGTAACTCTGGAGTATAAGCAAGAGTTTAGAATAATGTTCTTGGAGAGAAACACCATACTGTAATCTGCTAGGCTAGATTTTCACTGCTGTAGTCAGGAAAGGCCATTTCTGTATATCAGGTCTGATGTATAATCTCCAGCAGTAGTCAACCGGCAGCAAGTAAAGAAGAGAAGGCCCTGGAGAGACATTATAGCAGCCTTCCAGTACTTAATGGGGGACTACAGGAAAGATGGGGAGAGCAGTGATAGGTTGAGGGATAATGGTTCTAAACTGAAAGAGGGCAGATTTAGGACAGATATTATGAAGAAATTCTTTACTGTGTGGGTGGTGAGATGCTGGAATAGGTTGCCCAGAGAAGTTGTGGATGCCCCATCCCTGCAAGTGTTCAAGGCCATGCTGGATGGGGCTTTGAGCAACCTGGTCTAGTAGAAGGTGTCCCTGCCCATGGCAGAGATGGGGGTGAAACTATATGATCTTTAAGGTCACCTTCAACCCAAACCATTCTATGATTCAATGTTCTTACTTTCCATCAAAAAAGCTCTCCCTTTCAGATCCTGAACAGCCAGAGAGCTGGTGTCCTCATGGTGGATTAATACTTGGTGAGAGAATAAGTTTTTTGCTAAGTTCACTCCTGATTCCATAGAATTTATTTATCATGCAGGTAAATATTTGCACATAAGTCACATAAATAACTAAACTTCCTGTATGTTGGAAGTACAATCTTTAGTTTAAATAGGTTTAAAGACTTCTGAGGAAAGCTGTAAAACTCCAATTAACTTCTGCAGCCTTCAAAATAGATCTTAGGGCTTGGAGGAAGCAAACCACTTGTGTACATCCTTAAGCCCATAGTCTCCAGTGGAGCCACTCCTTGTTCTCAAGAACTCACCTGGTGAAAGGCTTTGCTGGATCTAACCTGGAACATAAGTTCACAGTCATCCTGCCTCTATGTTGCTTTTTCAACTATGATACAACAATTGATATGAGAAGTTTAATTTCTTGACTGTTGACAAAAGGGGGAGGGTAGCACTATTTCATTAGTCCTGTGAGTTTCATGTTTCAAAGTTTTGCTAAAGTAGAAAACCATGGAACTGTGATTCAGGAACTTTTTTTATTTTTTCATTCTGATGCTGACTTGATGCATGGCTTTGGCTGACTTCCTTAAGTGTGTCAGGATTTCAAGTTTTAGAGCTTTTACCTGACTATAGAGGAACGCAGAACCTAGAGACAGAACACAAGTCAACTTCCCCCATTCCTCACACAGTATGTATTCCTACACCTCACCAAGGGAACTCCAGGATAATGGCTGTTCTCCAAGCCCATGATTTTACCATCAGAGATGAACTTTTTGGATCAAAGAAGGATCAAATCCACATGAGGGAAACCATTTGTGTCCAAGTCCAAGTTCCTTTAGAAGATTACCAGTTTTGCTGTGGATTTTGTTTTTCCTAGGATTTCTAATTACCTGAATGGAATTTATCAGCCTGGTTATTTTTTTCCTGCTTGCACAACTTATTGCAGTAAGTCATTTGACTCACTACAACAAGGTCTTTTTAGGCGACATGGGTAATCATAGTGTGCTTATTTCTTACCCTTGGGTTATAATTAATTATTTATAGTAAAGCTGATTTTGAATTCCCTGAAATGAATAAATACACTAATAGGCAAGCGATGTGTTCTGTCAATGCATTAACCAGCAATGAACACCAAGCAGGAAGGGAAGTATGTCTGGGGGCTTCAGGCTCCTGTGCTGGTCCAGTGACAGCAAATATGTACTTATTTCTAGCTATAGACACTCCTTTCTGCACTGTGTGCCAGAGTCTGAGGCATCTTCAAGCCCTGACTTTGCTCGTCAACCCCAAGACCTTTAGCAGCCTGCAGATAATGCAGGTGCTGGGACTACCTCTTGGAAACTGGGGAGTTCTGGTAATTGCAGGGCTTGAACAACACATCTCTCTGTATCTGTACCAAGCCATACAACACAACCCATGCATCAGAACAAGGAGTGGCAGGGAAAATGAAGAACAATGCACAAATTGTGTGGGGGTTCTCTCCCATGTGATGCAGAAGTTTAACTTTTAATTGTATTTTGACTTTCTCTTTTGTTTGCATCCTGTTCTAAAGTTGTAAAAACATATTTACTTTCTGTTAGCTATTGGGAAAGCTGGCTGTGGTATTCTTTAATTTTTTACCTTGTAAATATTTGTGAGTTTAACCAAGTGCTCTGTGTCTGTTTAAGCAGTACGTCTGCCAAAACTTTTATCCACGTGGAAAAAAAATTACCCCAGGCTAGCTATATGGCATATCATGACTCAGAATATCAAGAAGAGGGAAACATATTTAAATATATATATTCAGTGTCACATCAGGACTCTAATTTCTTGTTCAGTGTATGCTATAATTTCCTCATGGACAAAAGCTAATGAGAATTTAGTAACCACTTCACAAAAACAGTTTAAAAAATAAGTAAAGGAGAAAAATCAGTTCCCCCTAATAATCCTGTATGAATGCAGAGCATTTCCTGTTATGTCGTAATCTGTGTGTGTGTGTTCTTTAATACAGTTGCATACAGCCTAGCATAAAGCTAGCCATGTTGTTTATGGGGATATTTTCTGGACAAAAAAATCGACTCATTGGTTTGAGAGCAGTCAGGATCCACTCCAAAGGAAAATGTTTGCTTTCAGCTCTGCAGAGGTTCTGAAAAGACTGTTAGCTGGGATCATATATAACACGTGTGCAATACTGGCCTTCAAATTAATTTCAATGTTGCATCACCTTGCTTTTAGCCTCCTGCAGCCATTCTGTAGCTGCTAAAATTTCTGTGCAGTCCTATGGACATATGGAAAATATTGTAGGTACCCATTGGGGGGCCAAGTCCATAGGAAAAAATAGGTGTCAGCTTGTGCAAGAGCATAGATACTGGACCTCCTGATTTGCTTTGCAATTGCTTCTTGGTATAATGTTTGCAGATGTTGGACATAAAGAACAAGATTTGAGGCTATCTCAACCTATGTTTAAATTGGTGGATTAAGGAGTACTAGCGTGCTCTTTGATCTGGATAATTCCAACTGTTTGTAGTACCCCTCCCACTACTTTTGCCTTGGTTTCACAGGAAGGAAGCTTAGTGATCCAAGCCAGGAGAAAATCATCCAGATTGCTATAGCACAGAATCCCTAAGTGTGCCAGGACTGGACTCCACTGCTCGGTCCAACTCTGCTAATTTCATTACTACACTGAGGAGGTAAAATCACAGATTTACGTATTTGTGTCTGTATCCACAACTCTGTAGGGAAATCCCAGAGGCAGATGTAATTTGAGGCATATAACTGATGTCAAGTCAGTATGTAGGCAAATTTTCCCACTAGAGCAACAAACTTTCATCAGTACAGTCCCCAGTTGTCAGTGTTGGCTCATCTGAACCAGAGGATTTATGGTCCAGCAGCAGTCTCGGGTAGTAAATTTTTAGGCGGAGCTAACAAGCAGCTTCAGGATAGTCAGTGGCTTTTTGCATCATGGAGCAACATTGCAGAAAATAGGCTGAAGTGGAATGAGGAAGAGATCTATAAAGGTCTGTCTCCTCTTTCACTGCATCTTCATAACTAGCATCCCATTATGCTATGTTAGCTCTTCAGAAACTGGTGGGCAGAAGAGCGCAGCAACTGCAGGATGTGCTGTGCTTCTCAAAGTTGTCTTTTGTGTATTTTGCTCAAACTCTTTGTGTCCTGTACTCTGGCCCACCTCTGTGATCCACAGGGATCTTCCAGTAGCCTGCTTGCCTGACCCTGCACTTTCACTGCAGCCTTTCAGAGTCCTGCCAAAAGACCTCTGGCTCATTTCACATTGCTGCAAATATATGAGGCTGAGTAGTTGCATGGGGCTGGCTGGATTACAAGGTACACCTGTCTGCTGTAACTTCTGTCCTTTCAGCCACGCAGGAAAGAACTTGTCCCCCAGTCTGCTTCCAACAACACTCTGCCCTGCTATGGAAGTTGAACACAGATCTCATGGCCAGGTACTAGCAGCAAGTGATGCCACTGGGCTAAGGCATGCCTGTAAGCATGGATATCAGAGAGCTCAGCCCTGTGCAGTCTTACATATTCTGGTTCTTCATCTGCAGGTTAGTCCCCAATGACATACATGATTTTTGATACCTTTACATCACATCATCACTTGTAAAGTTGAGGGGAAGAGCCAGTGATTTTTCTTGCTGTCATCTTCTCTCTAACCTTTAAAAGGAACCTGTCTAAATTCCTTTCTAAAAGGAATTTTAGGACTGAAATGCTTTTTTGAACCCTTCTTGTAATGTTTAGGATGGGACTAATAGAAAGCAGATTTTGATTGTGCATTCATAGCCCTCTCTACTCAGAAACTGGTGTATGTATCACAAATAAACAACTTTCCCTAAGGAAGCATTCAGGTTCCATGTAGCTGTCGTGGTGTTTTTTTTAATGGAAGCTAATCTGCAAGACCCCCAGACCTGAAGCTGCCTGATGGTAGGACCCTACATTTTGCAGCATCAATACACACAGAGCACGTAGATCTCATGTTTTGTAATGCATGAAGGTCTGTGCCAGGAGAAATTCGCATTATCAGCAAAGGATTTGATTCCACATTTCAGTGAATATGGAAAGTAATTAAAGGATGGGGTGGGATCGCCCCGCCCGCGCCGTCTCGCGCCCCCTGCCGGCCCTCCCGCGCGCGCGGGGCGGGGCGGGGTCACGTGAGCGCGCTCAGCTGACCGCGGGCGGCGGCGCGAGGCCGCGGTGAGCGCGGGGCCGGGCCGGGGGCGCGCGGGACGCCGAGGGCGGCCCCGCGCTCACTGTCCTTCTCCCACAGATGAACGGGGACGCGACGGAGCCGGCGCCCGTGTGGGAGCGGCCCTGGTCGCTGGAGGAGATCCGTAAGGGCAGCCAGAGCTGGTCCTTGGCCTCGGACGCCGGGGTGAGCGGTGCGGCCGGCACCGGGCCGGAGCCCGGCACCGGAGGGGTGCGCGGGCCGCGGCCTCCCCAGGGCTCGGGGCCGTGTGCGGGGCGGTGCTGCCGCGGGGCGCGGGGGTGGCCCAGCGCGGGGGGGGCGCCGTGGCCGCGGACCCCCGAGGCCCCGGAACGCGGCAGGAGCGGCCCCGGTCAGGGCCCGGCGGCTCTCCCGGTGCTTTAACCCTCCGGTCCGGGCGGGAAAACTAAAGTGAGGAGTTGGCCCCAAAGGAGAGGCAGAATGAAGTGGCTGAGACTTGATCCTGGGTGTGTGTGCGGGTCCTTTAGTCTAAACTGCGTTTGTTTTGGTGCTCAGTTGAAGTGTATGGTCAGTTCTGCCAAAAGGAAAGGAAAAAGAGCTGCATGCTGACTATTGCTTTCCTCTGTTGTCAACAGCTTTTGCATTTTCTACAAGAGTTCTCGCAACAAACCATTTCCAGGACTCATGAAATCAAAAAGCAAGTGGACGGATTGATTAGTGAAACAAAAGCTACAGACTGTCGCCTTCATAATGTCTTCAACGACTTTCTTATGTTGTCCAACACGCAGTTCATAGAGAATGTGAGTGTGTTCTAGTACAACATCAAACTTGTACTCCAAACATTGGCGTTGTCTCTTTAATGTGGAGAAAGGATTTAACTTTTTGGCAAGTCTGATGCTAATTTAGGGATAAGGTGACTTTTAATTGCTTTCTGGTAAAGGATGTCCTAATTCTTTTGTGAGTGATGCACTCTCCAATACTGATGGGTTCCCTTTTGCATGTTCTGAAATACCTTCCTTCCTTGTTTATACGTGACCTGGAGATGACGATTTCATTTTTAGTACTATGAATGAGCTGGGATCTCTGAAATGTCTTGGTTTATCTTCACAGGTTCTGTGAATGTAGCATTTGCCTGTACTTGTCCAAGTATGAGAATGTTATACAATGGTGTAAATTTCCTAGTGGTGTTATTTTACTCTAAGCATTTGGTGTTAAAGGTGTTGGGCTGCAGGCAGTTGTCCCTTACGTTTGGCTGCGATGTCCATATTTTCTGGCTAATGTTGCCACTTCATAAATATTGCTATTTTGAAAGGTGAAGCTAGACTTGAAAGCCTGTTACAACATTGTATCAGTAGAAGCATGTGTCTCATTAAGATATAAATCTTTAATAGTATTTCAGATTTGGGAAAGTTTTTTTACTGTGGTGGATTTTATCAGGCATTTTATTTTGATCAGCACTGTTTTCAGGCCATATGTGTCTCAT